AAAAAAAAAAAAAAAAATTATCTATCATCTGACTTCTCTACGTCATAGAGTCAATTGGCTGCATGCAAAAATATCTGGAAAAATACCGTGCACTTGAAGTGTGAAATATCATCACAGTAAGGGGCTTTATTTATTATTGGTCTTCCTCTTTGTAGAGTAATACTATTTGTATCTCAGTAAAAGTCACTTATTTGCAAAGTGATCCTTGTAAAAGGAACTCTTAGGAATCAATCTTACTGACAATCTGGCATGATTCTGAAGCCAGTGTCTCAACTCCTAGGAACAGAAGATGATATAAAGACATATAACAGTCCTAAGTTCTAATTAATAACTAATAAAATGAAATGGCTTCTTATTAGTTCTTTAAAATATAATAATCCAAGAGTAATGAGGTCAAACTGAGAAGAAAAAACCCCGCCACGGCTTGTTTAAGTCATTTAAAATACAAGTGATAACCGCGGTGACTGGGAACCAGCCTTCACCTATACTGAAGCTTACTTGTGTAGAAAAACATCAAAAGAGATCACTAAAAATCAAATTTCTTACAATTTCCTAGAAATTAAAATTCTGAGATTTTGTTTCTGAAAAATTGCTTCTTCAGCAAAACATTTAGCACAAGACTAGGTTACCCTCAAATCAGTGTTTTGGCTAGACAGTAAGGTCCTTCAACCAAATTTTTTAGAAAGAGTCATGTCATTTTTTAATTGCAAAATGTCTCTCTCCAATGCCTCAAAATTCACAGACAACCTAGGTAATATTTATAATAATAAAAAAGGGAAGACTTAGGCATGCAGAGTAGAACTACAGGATTATGATGATCTGGCAAACTGACCTCTATTGGTATGTTTATAGGGTACACTTGACGTGATTATTACAAGTTTTTTGGAACCTTGGAGGACAAGGAAAATAATCTGTGAATATATCTTCCTGACTTATCAAGTACAGGGCCATTAATGCAGTCTCCATACTATCACTCCTCTGTCAGTTCCTTAGAACTTTTTAGCCTTTGGGTCCTCTAAGTCTTGGATGGAACCGTTTAGGGAGTGGTTAGATATATGCAAACAGTATTATGCTTTAGAAATGTTCTTGGTTTATCAAAGTGAAAAGACAAGTATTACACATGCTGAAAATGTGAAAATAAGGTTTGTGAGAGATGCCAAGTATTTGGGTACTGATTAGAAAGTATCTTCATCTGACTCAATATCACTCTTGGGTTTGGTAAGTCTTTCCAGTTCCTCTCCATCCTAAAAGGAAACATGGAATCAGTAATTAAAACAAAACTAGAAATGTAGCATTTTTAATGATTACTAAGGAGAAATCTTACTAACAAATTATGGATTTTATTTCATTACACTATAAATACAACCTGGTCACATGAAATTAAATAAATACTTAAGTCCTTGGAAAGTGAATTTCAGGTATAACGAGATCAAGAAAACTGAAACGCATCTCAGCACTTCAATTTCAAAGTTAACAACATGAGCCCAGTAAGCAGCACCCTCTGCTGGTCTTGAGAGGAAACGACTAAAGAGTGGAGAAATAGGTATGAACCGGGCCTTGTCACCGAAATTAATTTTGTTTTACCTAAAAAGTAGGGCACGCAGTGTTATCAGATCATTGAAACAGAACACAAGACTCTTGGGTCTATACTCCAGCTGAGATCAGGGCATTTGGGACTCAAGCCTCTAATTTTTTCATCTGAAGAGTCTGTTGCATCACCACTTCAGTGGCATTACTGAGGGAAGCTCTGCCATGAACTCAAATAAGCAAGAGATTAACTTTCCCAAAGCGTGAAACATTCATTGTGTGAAATATTCCCTATTTTGTATGTTCATGAAAATTGTAAATTTAAAGCTAGATAGAGGAGTCTATTTCATCTTTTATTTATAACATATATCTTACTCCTTGCTTGAATCTCCAAAAGATCATTATTAATTTGCTAATAACATGACTGATGGACCCTCCTGAAACAATTATAAGCAACTGGCATAATAATACTTATTCACAATAACTACATAAGTATTTTTCTAGAAAACATTTTTCTCTTACACGTAGAGATCCTTTTGAAAACCACCTTCTCACTGGGACAAACAAAGCCTGCCCTTCTGGCACACTGTGCTTTATGAATAACTACGGGAAAATTAAGGAGCCAGGCCTTCCACTTATGTTTAACAAGACTTCCTAATGTTGAAGATCAACTTTTCTTCCCAATGAGGTTTATCTCCCCAACTGTGGTAGGCTGGAACGAGTAAAGGACTAGGAGGCAGACCTCATGGGTTTAGTACCAGTTCTTTCACTTACTATCTGTAAACCATTTAGCCTCTCTGCATCTGTGCCTTCACTTGTAAAACTCAGAAGACTGGACCAGATAACCTGAGGCATCCTCCAGCTCTGTGACTCTATACTACTCTATGATACAACTAATGCATAAGGTCCTTGAGACTGTGATTTATACCTTTTCTCGACCCCTGGCAGCATTATCATGAGCCCTTGCACACATAAGGAGTCCAATGAATGTTTGTTGAATGATTTTTAAAAGTCACAGAGATCCAATACATTCTTTGATAAATCAGCACTAATCTATTTCTTTTCCTGTATAACCAGGCTCTGAATTTGGGAAGAACAGGCAAAAAGTAGCATCCTCACAAACTTACCCCACAGGAGCGCTCCCAAAGACTGCCACTTAGATCTCGGATCCTTTCTTGCCTAGGTGCATATTCCAGATCTTGTGACTTACTGGCTTTATAAATAAATATGGAGAGGAGAACTGATGGGGCTTCTAAGAAAAACTCCAGGGAGGGCCTGAAGTCAAAGACCAGGACGGACACTGTTGTGATGATGACAGTGGTGACCTGGGCCATCAAGACATGGAACATGTTATCCAAGAACTTCAGAATAAAAGCCACCGAGAGGCCCTGGAATGCAGTTACAAAAATAAGGGCTACTGAAAACGCATTGTGGCCATAAAAAAACCCACAGCTCTTAATCTGATCACGGTTACTGCTCTGAAGGCCCAGGGTCAGTCCATTAAAAAGAACGCCAAAGAAATAGAGTTTGCTGTTCTGTATGAAGATGCTTTCAGTGAGCTGGTTCCCTTCCTTCAATATCTTTTCATTATAGATATTGGCCATTGAAGAAATAAAACACTGGACTATAATAAGCACATGGCCCAAGCCGAGACGGACGTGACTGAAAATCCTGGCTGTGGTGTTCCACTTGGCTTCAGAGAAAGTCCACTTCTTTGCTGTGCAATTGTCTTTTCTGGGACACTCACTTCTGAAAAGAAGGCAGGAATTGGAAGGGCTGAAGAAGGCATCGTGATGAAATCCATGTCCTGCCAGGTTATGCTGTGAAGTTTTAGTCCCAGCGGTCAGGGCCACGATAGACAAAAATAGAATCAGGAGGGAAGCCCACTGTATCCAGTTTAGATGCCTCCTGTCCAAAGATGAAGAACAAGATTTTACTACTGTTTCCTTTCCCTCCTCCATGTCAACTGTTTCTACTGAAAACTCAGACAGACACTTGAGTACTTGGCTGAATAACCCATACCCAGTATTTGCTAGCATTTCCAATTCAAGCTCAAAGGAAATCTGTTGGTTTTTCTCCTTCTTAAACTTGATATTTTTATTTAATTTTATAATAACTATCCCTTAAGGCCATTCAGTCATTTCTCCTCAGAGTTAAGTTTCCTTCTAACCTGTAGGTTTAACCAAGCATCTTTTCTACCTCCAGAGCTAATCCTGGACATTGGGAAGAGTACTTTTTATCTCGCTATAAAGTAAGTTACAGCAGGGATTCTCAACCCGGTCTCCATGAGCCAGAACGTGACGAGCTTCAGAAATCTGTGAATCCTTGCAGCGTGTGCCAAATCTTCTATAGAGGTGAATTCCTGGCCCTCCCCCCACCTCCAGGAGTCCCTTCAAAGCTCTGTCAAATTTTGAAGGTATTCATGACGCAAAAATGATTTAAGGAGGAAGCTAGCTCCCAGATCCATGGCCTAATCATAAAGCATTTTACAGCAAACTACTGTTTTATAAGGCAAGGAAAAAAGTATTTTTAGTGTTTCAGTTTACAAAGTCCTAACAATGCTTTATTTACTTATTTTGTCAAACAACGCACTTGTGAGATACAGAAGACATGTTATTATTATTCCATTTTGTGGATTCATTCAGTTCAACAGATATTTAATAAGCAGCTAGTATGTGCCAGGCACTCTGGGGAGATAAAGAAGACCCGATCTCCATCCTCAAGGAATTTACACTTAACAGGGAGAGCGCCATGACACTAAACGACGACAATGTCATGTGTGACAAGTGACACATGGAACAACTGGGGACACTGAGGAAGAAGCACTGGAGTCTGTAAACAGTCAGGTGTTGCTTCAAAGAAGAAACGACTCTTGGGCTGAAAGATGAAAAATAACCAGAAGTTGGCCATGTGAAAAGGGAGCTGATGACAAACAGGCAGAAGGGAGAGTCTCTGCAAGGGCAATGAGAATGTATACTGTTAGCCAAGGAAAAAGGAGCTGCTGATTCAGGCTGAGGTGGACAGAGAGGCCTCTGAGGGGAAAAGGAGCTTCAAGTCTGAAGACCAATTAGTCAGGTGAAGAAGAGGGACACCAAGAGTAGGATAACATAATGAAAGGCAGAAGTGTAAAGCAACAGGCGAGAACTCAAAGTTATGAGAATTTCAGAGCATTTATTGAGCACCTGCTATGGGTCAGGCAATTCCTGTTCTAATAGAGACAGTGTTCTGAAAGGTGAACTGACTTCCCTAAGGTCACGTATTTATGAAAGAGCAAGGAAGGGATCTGAGCCATGATTTTATATGTCTTCCTTCTGGACCAACGCACCTCAAGTTTAATTCTGAGCTCCCATGATGCATATATAGAAAGACGTGTCTGATTTCACCAATGTTTCCAGAGAGCTCCAAGCTATGAAACTGCTACATGCAAAGACCAGCCTAGATAGCAGCACACCTGTGTACATCATATGTCTTCTCGTGTAGACACTTTCAAATAACCAGATCTAGCACTGAGTGACGGGGCTAGCATAGCCCTGTGCCATGCGGTCAGGAACTGTGAACTAGTCCATAAATTTCTGAAGGTGCAGCTGGTACAGAGTGGTAGAGAGCAAATCAAATGGAAATAGAAAAAAGACAGGGATGAAGAATGGGTGCCCAACTTATAAAGATCATTATATAGCCAATTACTGCATAACAACACAAATGAAGCAATGACATAATCTATAGTCCCTTAGAAGTTTTCAATTCTCATAGCTTTAGATTTTCCACTAATAGTGACATTGAGAAAAAAAGATCTAAGGAGACAAAGCCTTAAACAAGCTAAATAGTACCTACTGTAAATAATTACTTTCAAGGTGATGTTCTAGGGAAGGTAAAAATTATTAAGGATTAGGCTGAAAATAGTAGATTTTCAGCAAAAAAAAAAATAAAGCTTAATAAATTGTCCTGTAAAGTCAGCTGTGCTCTTACAAATGATGACTGCTTGTACCTAGAAGAGTTTGCTCCTCAGTTTAGTGGATTCAACAGTAGAAATTCACTTAACTCATCTCCACTTACCCAGGACAACACTCATATTGATGCTGACAGCTGAACACTTGCGGCTAGAAGGCTGTGCTACCCGAGGGCCTCCGCTCTCAAGTGAATTGCTCACAAAGAGTCTATGTTTCTAAACGTGTTTTTGCCAGGTAACCTTATTACTGTAGTTATATATTTTAAAAATTACATAAATGATAAATTATGAGTGAAAGAAAAGGATTGCTATTTTTATGAAAACTAAGTTGAATGCTTTAGGAAGACTAGTTAAAGGCAACTCACTCACAAGATAAAAAACTGCCTCTGAATTATGTATAGGTGAGCTAATTTTAAGATTAGGGAATGAATAACAAAAATCTAGAAGAATCTACTCCAAAAGTATTTTTTAAGGACTTACTCTACTTTAAAGAAACTGAACCCAGAAATCACAGATGATGTATAACAAATGCAGCTTCAAGCATGAAAGAAGCCAAAGAACTCCAATCAGCAAACCCTACACCTACTCAAAGGAAAGGCCTTAGCTCTTCATCAAAAGAACGACGAACAGAGGTGACGTCAGCATCATGGCGGAGAGAGTCATTCCCTGTGTCTCTCCCCTTTAAGTTACAACCAATCGGACATCCATTGACCAACAAAGGACTCTGCACAGCACACCAGAGCACCTGAGAGATCCATGCATCTACACATCTGAAGGCGGGTAGGCTGGACCTCCTGGAGGCAGTGGAACTAGAGAGCAGGGGCAGCAGCTCCCAAGAGCAGACGTTCCAGGACCTGTGGTCGCACCTATGACCAGATGCCCCAGGAACTGAGCTAACACCCACAAAGGAGGCCCCAGGAACCCAGGCAGCCCATGCTCCCAGAGATGCCAGGAATCACTGTGGCCCATGACCAGAGATTCCAGAACTGTGAGATGCCTGTGACCCAGGGTCCCGGTCCCCTGGTGGCGGAGCCTCCAACACCAGTCTTCCTAGTAGTGGTGCTGCATCCAAGAGGCAGATACCACTGGCAGTGGTAGTGGTGCCTGCGCCCTGAGGTTTCAAAAAGGGCACCAGTACCAGAGACCAGAGGCTACAGGAGCAGCAATAGCACTCACGGCTCAGCCCCCACTCTGTCCCAAGCAGTGGTGGATGGCACCCACAACCTGAGGCTTTAGGAGCCACAGCACTACCTGTGACCTGCCCCCAGTGACAGCACCCCCGACACAGGCCCTACCAGCAGTGGGGGCTGCATACAAGACCCAGGGCCCCAGGCAGTGGCAGTGACACCTGTGAACCCAGTGCCCCTGGCAGCGGTGCTGCCAACACCCTCAGATAACCCAGGAGCAGCAGTGCAGGTGGTGCATGCAGCAGCACTGCGCCCCTGAAGGGGCTGCAGAGAGCCAGTGGGGAAACATGAGACCAAGTGACCCTGGAAGCAGCAGAGGTGCCTACAGCCTGGTGATCCTGGCTGTGACACTCGTGAATGCAGTGACATCGAAAGCAGCAAGGCACAGGCAAACTTTGAGGATAAAGAAGGCACTGACGATGCCTCTGGCAGAGGTGTGGAAGGTGGAAAGTGCAGGCTCTCAAATATAACCAAATGCAGTTCAGAATCAAAGTAACCAAAGCCGTTTTCAAATATGGAAGGTGTTTGCTACCACAAATGCACCAGCAGAGGATCAACTCCTCAAGCAACATGAAGAACTACAGTAACACTACAGAACAGAAAGAGAATGACAACTCTCCATAAACCAAACATGAAGTCACAAAGGATTGCGATCCAACTGAAATAGAATTCAAAATAGCTGTCATGAAGAAACTCAACAAGTTACAAGAAACCTCAGAAAGACAGTTCAATGAGCTCAGGAATAAAATAAATAATCAGAAAGAGTATTTCACCAAAGAGACTGAAACTCTAAAAAAAACCAAACAGAAATTCTGGCACTGAAGAATACAATTACAAGATGATAAAAAAAGTAGAAAGCATTGGAAATAGAGCAGATCATATAGAAGAGAGAATTAGCAAGCTTGAAGATAGAAATCTAGAAATGATTCAGGCAGAAGAGGAGAGAGAACTAAGATTTTTAAAAAATGGAGAAATTCTACAAGAAATATCCGACTCAACTAGGAAAAGCAACTTAAGGATAATGGGTATCCCAGGAGGAGAAGAGAAGGAGAAAGGAGCAGAGAGTTTATTTAAAGAAGTAATAGCTGAGAAATTCCCAAACCTGAGGAAGGAACTGGATATACAAGTATATGAAGCTAATAGAACATCTAATTATCTCAGCACAAAAAGATCTTCTCCAAGACACATTATATTAAAACTGCCAAAAGTAAATGACAAAGAAAGAATATTAAAGGCAGCCAGAGAGAAGAAAATAACTTACGAAGGAACCTCCATTAGGCTATCAGGGAATTTCTAAGCAGACACTCTATAGGCTAGGAGAGAGTAGAATGATATATTCAAAATATTGAAATATAAAAACTATCAGCCAAGAATATTCTATCCAGAACACTTATCCTTCAGATATGAAAGAGAAATAAAGGCTTTCCTGGACAAATAAAAGCTGAGGGAGTTCATTGCCACTAGACCTGCCTTACAAGAAATGTTGAAAGTAGCCCCCTCCCACCTGAAACAAAAAGGCAATGGCATACAAATCTTTGAGCAGGGTGATAGACAGAATCAGAAAATTGCAACTCTATATCAGAATAGGTTAATAAACACTTAATTGTAACATAAAGGCTAAAGGGAAAGAAAACATCAAAAATAACTATAATTGGGGCCGGCCCTGTGGCTTAGCGGTTAAGTGTGTGCGCTCCACTAGTGGCGGCCTGGGTTTGGATCCGAGTGCGCACCGATGCACCGCTTGTCTGGCCATGCTGAGGCAGCGTCCCACATAC